TTTAGGGTACTGTGTTAAAGGTTAATAAAGAAATTTAGCAAGATTAAAAAAAAAACACAAAAAACCAAGGCTTTTTTTATGCCTAAAAGGGAAAATGTAAAAACAAAATTTATTGTTTTCAACGTGGTTTTGGCTTTTAATAAGGAGGTGCTTCGTGTGATTGAATTCTTATGTTTTTGGGTATTATCTCGATTCCAAAAATATTACCCCCCCCCAACCCCGCAAAAAAAAAGAAAAAAAAAACGAGCGAGGCAACATTGTATTTCCAAAAACCACCTAAAACACGGTCAATTAAAAAGAAAAAAAGAAAGGAATATAAAACTTTCCCTACGCTGGTCTCAGTAACCTGGTTCAGTGGATGAACCAACAGCTTTCTTATTCTAAGTTTTGTACGCCCGATTTTTGCTGACGAACGCTATTATTGTCACTGACAGTTTCTGAAACTTAGGGCGTGGACAGTCCCGAGCATCTCGTTATTGCTTCGCAACCAATCAGATTGCGGCATTTCCGCATAATAACGCCGAACAACCAATCACAAAGCAAGGGGCGTAAAAGCAACAATCCGCACCCTTTTTTTAAGTTGTTAGTGACCATGTTGCGTCGATGTGTTCTACTTTCCAGCGTGCTCCGTCGAAGTCGCGTCGCGAAAACGTATACGAAACGCAATATAAAATTCGGACCAAACGTTTTGTTCCCAGTGTATTGTAGAACATTCCAGCGGAATCGAAGAAGCGTTTTAAAGGAAAACCTTTTAAGTCCAGTTCATACACTCACGACTACTCACGACCAACTGCATTATGAACCCTTGCGACATCTCACGACGAGAGAGAACACACTGGTACGCCGGCGCCATCTCGGGGGTGGCCTTGGAACTGCATTTCATTAGAGTGAAGTTTTTTTTTTTTATTTGCAGTATTTACGCGATTAACGTGGACGTACTATCTATTAGACACGGTGGTGTATAACTTTGTCGCATTTTTTTTTTCAAACTATTAGAAATAATGATGCGCGAAAAGAGAATATACGTAAATCGTTTGACGGCTACCCGCTAGGTGGCGCCAGTGCAATCTCTCGCAATAAAAAAATCCCAAGAGGTCGCAACGTACCCGGTCGTAAGCAGTCGCAAGTGTGTGAACGAGCCTTCACAAATATATAACCGCTCGAACTTCTTTTCTGTCCAGATTTTACTATGCTGCAGCACCACACTAGCCCGGGATTTCATCTACGACCGCGGTATGTATACGCCTCATCACGTACGAATGTTCATTCCTCGACACAGCTTTGAGCTCCCCTATTAACCGAACTCCGTTGTGAATGCTTCCTGTGAATGCGTGAATCGCTATAAAGTCATAACGAACAAATCAAGCTGGTGACGACGGAATTATATCTGCTGATATACGTGTGCTTCGAACACGCCTGCAGGCAGTTTTTGTATAACCAATGCGACGGGACCACGCATAAATACCAGGAAGGATAGATGGATGGATGATAATGGCTATACCCTTGGTAACTGGCGGTAGCTTGCGCCACCTAGCCTAAGAAACGCGCCTCAGACTGTCTGGACATTGTCCTTTGTATATGATGCATTAGCATCGTGATCGCGACTTTAAACACTCTCCAGCATCGTTATATTCCTAGTTTGCTTTCATCATAAAACAAAAAAATACAGGCTTGCTTTTTTTTTTTCAAGACCACTGAGTGCATTTAAGTGTTGCGGAAGCACAAATAGATCGGTTTATATGTGGGTGACAGACGTTTAATAATTTTGTTTAATGTACTAGGCCCGTGAGCGAAAATGAGACCCAGCATTTCGGCCTTCGCAAATAAAGCATACGCGTCAAAGAAAAAAAGGCCGAAATTCCGCGGTCATGTAAGCGGTGGTGATAGAACGCGAAAGCTTGGGAACTGGACGTTTTCTAGATCAGGGGAAGATACGAAACGGAGGAACAAAATTTATCCGTGAGCCGACGTCCACCTAGACCTAAAATTTGTCAAACCGAGAAATGACATTCTGGGCGTCCAAAGCGTTTACCAAATCAAAAAAAAAAAAAAAAAAAAAAAAAAAAAAAAAACGCATCTTTCTTTTGTAGAAGGCAATACATTTCAAATCGTGCAGAAAAAAAAAAGAAGATTTGCTGGGTCAATGTTTTATTAGAACGAAAGTGAAAACAGTTTTTGCGTTATATTTTTAGTTTTGGGAGTTATTGACTTTTAAACGACCAAAGACGGATTTAGGAATTTGGATGATCGTCATAGGCAGAGTATTTGGCAGCTTCTTCAGGCTCAGATACCTTTCATACAACAAATACACTTTTTACGTAGTTTTCTAAACTTTGTTAAAAAAACATGTATTCATAGAAGAGTTTTTTTTGTTTTAATTTATTTATGTAAAAAAAAACCTGGCCCCTTTGATGATAATTTACGGAATTTGGATGTTGTTAACTTTTGTAACAAATAATTTTATGACGTAAATTATATATCAAATAAAAGCTTAAAGAAATACCTATGCAACAAGGACATTATCGCTATAATTATTGAAAGTCATTTTGGCGAAAAACGCCAGCGAGTACAAGAAGAAACTAAAAATTCAAATTTCAACAAAAATTTTCTTAAAAACACCATTCTTAACTTTTTTTTTTCGTATAACGAACCTTTTATAGTCTGAAAAAAACATGTAATAGAGTGTTTATATGGCTTGGTTTATATGGTTATATGGCTGTAATATATGACTTGAACCTATAAATCCGTAAATTCGAAAATACGATATCATATATTTGACATTTGTTTCTGCCATATTGTTAATTATTTGTTGACGCTTATTCATGGTTTTCGTTGGCTTCAATTTAACAAATAATTAAGCTCGTTATGCATAATATATAAAGGTTTTCATGCGCACGTCCGCTTCCCCGCACCGCAAATGAGGCCACCGTCGGCCATCTTACGAGATATGCTCTAGCGCTGTTAAAGGGCAACTCCGGTCCATACTTTCGATTTTGTGATTATGACTGTTTTTAGTGCAGTCAGCGTCCCTGAATTGCAAGGTGTAATTTTTTTTCTCGTTATTGTGCGTAGTTTTAAAGATATCGACGCCTCAAAGTTTTGTTTGGGGCGCGGCCAACAAAACCGAAATGAGCCGCTCGAGGCCCCGGCAACACTGGAAATCAGCCGCTATGTGAACCCAACTCCAAGATTGTTCTCGTTCAACGAGTACGCAGGCCGAGCGGCACCTATACCTCTGTTGCGCTAGTCGTCTAAAGATAGGAGCTAAGCTGATTTCGTTTTAATTCTGTATACGTGGTAGTTATCCAGCATATGTAGCAAGAGTTAGAGCGTATATCCAAAAGCTAGCGACTGAAAAACCGTGAACTCGTTCGTTGCCGTACTCGACGGCCGACGCCGTGCGTGCGCTATGCCGTACTCGTCGCTTGTATACCCAAAAGCTAGCGAGTGGCAAACGAGTGAACTCGTTCGGTGCCGTACTCGGCGACTGTCGCCGTGCCTGCGGTCTTCCGTACTCGTCGCTAGGCCTAAATTGTCATCTGGGCTCTGTGGATGGAGCGGCGGTGCTTTACGCCGCGCTGCCAGTGACGTACAGTACTGGGGGCCCTCTCGCTTTCGCGCTGCGAGTCAGTCCCAGACACGAAGGTTTCAGGCTCTCCGGCGCGGGCCGCGGCGTCCGAACACACGTGTGTTGGGCTGTACACGACTGTATTTTCCGTTCTTTTTTCCTCAGGCGCGTAAAAGCCGAAGTCCAAAGTCCACTCGTCGAACAGCGTTCACCCACACCTTCTCCAATTTTCGGTCCGTCGGAAACTTGTGATAAAGCACCTCCGTGTTGCACAGCGGGTTGTTTGAGCAGCCCACAGCGCTACAAGTTGCACTCGGCATCTTTCGAGGAACAGCTGGGCAGTCTTGGGCGCAGCGAGTTGCTCGCTAAAACGAGTCTTAAAATCCTCACAAGCAAATAAACAAAAGGCTATACCGAAGCTACCCGGACTACCGATAAAAGCAACGGCTAAACTCGCCAATCACAAGCCGAAGTAGCGGTGGTAGCGGCTCAAAGAAGCGCACTCCGCGCAACGCCCGGACCGGAGGAAAAAAAGAGAACGATACTGAAGTCACGGCCCAATAGGGAGTTTTCGTAGATCGTTTCCGCTGTCCCGCAACGCTCTCCGCAAGCAGTTACGCTAGCCGGAACTCCACAGTCAAGGCCATCGGCGCGCCGGCGCAGTAGCGGCTGCTTCGTTGCGGAGGGCTTAGCGGAGGGGGAAACGCGGTCTACGAAAAAATGTTGCTTTAGCGATCGGCAACCCGCTGGCCGCCCGCTAAGGAGCAGCGGCTCACGGCGGGTCGCATTTTTGTTATCGGCATTAGTTGAGAATGCGGCGTCCTACGGACGTAATATTTTGGCTGGGGTCGTATTTTATGTCACAACAGCGATACCAGTAATTTATTTCATTTCGAGTTTTGGCCGGAGTTGCCCTTTAAGCCTGGACAGTTACCATGGTTACCGTGTGTAGGTCACGTGAAAACAGAGGCAAAGGTCACGTGACCGCTGCCATGACAACGCTTCAGCGGATCTCGTAAGATGGCCGACCGGTGGCCTCAATCGCGCAATGGGCTCGAAACGGGGAAGCGCGATCCAGCAATTGTCATAGAGATCAGTGATGACGGCACGTAAAAAAAAAAAAAAAAACATCACGTGACGCGAAGGGACGAATGACCGTCTTGGCAATATCGAACAACGAAAAAAAAAAAGAAGTGAAGACTCTGAGCTTAGGTTTCTAGTGAATCTAAGTCTCCACCTCTCCTCCCCCGCCAAAGTCGTTGCGGCGCAGAAGTTCAAGCAATGTCCCATTGTCCACGTTTAGTTCACCGGCTCAGTGGTGAGCCTGAGTCCGAAAACCCGGGTTTCATTTTCTTCCCCACAAACCCGGAAATTTGATTTTTTTTTTTTTTTTTTTTCAGGCGAGTCCTACACTTATCCGGTCTACAACATCAAGTCGGAAGCTTCGGCTGCGAACCAGAATGCAGCGGTCAGCGGACTTCTGCGACGGCTCGTTCCGCAGTGGGAGTCCCGATTCATGCTGCACGTGTTTCCTGGTCCCACCCAAGATCGCAGAGACACCTTCGTGGTACGCGCCGCACATAGGTTCACAGGCCAAAGCCGGGGGGTCACATTACCAAAACATTGTGCAAAAGACAGTCCGCAGACAGCGTTTGAGGCGTGGTTTTTTTTTTCTTGCATGACGGTCACATTGGTCATACAAAAAAAAAAAAACTGTCTTTCGTCATGTTCGATACATACATGAGTATGAAGCAAACCTGCTGATGTTCTTAAACTTAGAATAGGTGGCGCAAGCTACCGCCCGTTGCAAAGGGTACAGCCATTAACATCCATCTATCCATTCATACTTCGGGCAAGGTTGAGGCGTGTCCGCAGAGGATTCCGTCGTCACGTCTGCAGCGAACAGCCTGTTTCTTTTTTGTTATTATTTTTTTTTTGTATAATGTAGGAGCAGCGCGACTGCGGTTTTAAAGTTAATGCGGAATTCTTGCAGATTTCGAAGATTAATATTCGCAAAACAACGGGAGTAATAAATGATTTACGTGATGCGATGTTACTTGCAATTTCGATAATGCAACGTCTCTCTTGCGGAGGAAAAGAAAGAGTATGGTGGAGGCGGTACTGAAAGTTACTGTAGCGAAATCGCGAGCAAAATCGGACTACGTGAATCACAGGCTTAGAGGCTGAAACACGTGCAAAAAACCATCCAAAAATCGCATGAAATTTCGTGAGAACACAAGACGATAGTTTCACAACTTTTTTTTTTTATCTAACCACGCGCGCGCATTTATTCTACAGGAACTGGGAGTATGCTTTGAACAAAAAGCTTATGTACAATTTGCACGCAGTAAACATTCCTCTCCCTTTTTTTTTTTTTTCAGAAATAGCTACGAACGATTTTTACATTTCCCGACTTTTGCGCGATCAATAGTTGGTTTCTCACACATCTGTTGCAGCATTGAGGCGGGTCCACACACTCGCGTTTCTGCTTACGGTCGAGTTATTGTCATCTCTTATAACGAGTGAACACACTGGCACGCTGGCGCCCTCTGTGAGGTGGCGCAATTCATAAGAGCGAATGTTTCGCAGAATTTGAAAGATTAAATATACGTCCTATCTATGAGATAATGCTGTTTATAACATTGTCAAAGCTGTTTCGAGTCAATAATAAAATAATGATGCGCAGAAAAGGGAAGTATGCTGAAATCGCAAGTGTTCCACTGCTGCCCGATATAGATGGCGCAGTGTGTTTTCTCGTCGTAAGAGATCACAAGATGTCGTAGGCACTCGGTCTTAAGCAGTCGCAAGAGTGTGAGCCAATCTTTATGTGCAGTACACATAATCTCAATATATATAATTAAAAAAGAATTTCAGAAATTGTCAGGAACGATTTTTTCCCAAAAGTTGTGCGACTTTTAGTTCGTTTTGCGCACATGTGTTAGAGCCTTAGCAGTTTGATAATTCTCATGTTAAAGAGAGAAACGAAGAGTAGGCATGACGGAATGGTGAACAAGGTTTAGTGTGATTGCCTTTATGTTCCATTCATCCATCAAGTTCCACCGGAATTCAGAATGAATATAACAATGCATACATCAAGATAACTTCGATATGCTTATCTGTTTCTTTTTAAAGATTTTAATCTACATATGCGTATGATCGTGTTATCTTGCTGAGCATGCCAAGGCATGTCTTGTATCTAATTTGTTTTTGTTTCAAAGTTTGTTGTTTGAGTTTTAATGTTGACTTTTGTGTTTTGTGCCAGCCTGGTGTGCACCACACATGAGACTGATATGTTTGTTTGTGGGTATTCAGATGAAATCCACCTTATTCCTCTTGTAAACTTTTTTCTAGATTGAATCATTCAAGGACAAGATATCCATAACAGGAACAAGCGGCGTAGCCGTGGCTACTGGTCTGTACTATTATCTGAAACACTACTGCTCTGTTCACGTGTCGTGGTCCGGAGTTCAGACCAAGACCGTGACAGGATCGCCACCGATGGTCACCAAGCCCATCATGATCACACTGAACGACAGGTGAGAGGTGCGCTACGCTGCATCAAAGGAAGCGCTGCACTTAAAATAATCTTTGAATTCAGTCCGTTGCAAAACACGAAGATAGTCAATAACGGCAAACAATAGAAGGATTTCAGCGATTGACGAAGTTTAAAATACGATTGGACAAGAAGAGCGAATCATGGTGCGGAGAAATAATGAGAGTGACGTTTCGCTTGCTCACTGTCCTTTCCAGTATCACGTTTTTCAAATTACTCTTCTTCCGAGCTTCGTCATGCACTGGGACCTTTCTGTCGTTTGCTGTGAGATGCTGTGTCTTTGTTCTGCAAGAAAACGAACTTGTAGACCATTTTAGAATGTGTATTTCAGGGTATTAATTTGAAGATGAAATCAGTGCAGACTTTGAGTTTGGTTAATAATCGATAACACTAAAATTTAGAAGAAAAAAAAACAGCTTGCTGATTTTAATTGTGTCGTTTGGTGACGTAGTACATTGAAAACATTTCCCTGTCAGATTACTATTTATCGGTTTGCTCCTTTGAATGTTCATTTGTTTTATTGATTCGCTCACAGCTTTTGGTTTGAAGATTTACGCGTGGTAATATAGTCTAGAGTGTAAGAAATCACGAGGCCGGCTTTATATTCAACCAGAAAGATCAACGCTTGCGAGCAGATTTTTTCAAACCTTCACCCGAGTTAGCGATGACTGTCTCTTGCGGTGTCATCTCCTCATAGGTGCGGCGAGCAGACAAGAGAGTGCATCGCCTGCTCGCTGCGCTTACCTTTTATCATGCCTCCAGTGACTTAACTCCTGTAATGTATTAAATTCAGTGAGTTTTCTCAATTGAATTGATCCAATATACGTACGTGCAACCGATCGGAACCGCTTCTTACGTGAGCGTGTTTGGAACTGACAGACGATGCTTACGAATAGCTGAATTCCTGGGTACACACCAGGGCCAATAAGAATCACGATTAAAAAATAATAAAATAAATCAGATTTATTTTAATTAAATCCCCCTGTTTAAAAAACAGTTTCTTTTTCTCACGAATTTTTTTAGACATGACCGGTTGACTGATTCTTTAATATTCCCAACGACCGAGAGCAGTATGCCGTACTAGAGCAGAGGCAGCTTGGTTTCTAGGTTAATGAAAAAACTATATTGTTTTTGAGCAAATCGAAACAGTGTGAAACAACTTTCGCTCATTTTGTTTCTTCATTTGTTGTGATGCAAATCATAGACAAAGTAAATAAACATTACTTGGGATTTTTTCTGCGGGAAACGTTTTATTTAATTAATCGTAGCAAAACCGGTGTGATTTAAATCATGATTTAGATCACGATATAAATCACCTCTTCGCTTTGGTACCCATTAACCGCATGGAACGTGCCAATTGATTTGTTACTGCTCTGCCCACCACCGCCATTGATTGGTGAGCATGTTTTACGCTTCGTTGAACACTTTGCAGGTTTCGCTACTACCAGAACGTTTGCACGGCCAGCTATTCCATGGTGTGGTGGAACTGGACTCGCTGGGAGCAGGAGATTGACTGGATGGCCCTGAGTGGCATCAATCTGCCCCTGGCCTTCAACGGACAAGAGGAGATTTGGAGAAGGGTATGCTCTAGATTGAACCAAATTGCCTTTACACGTTGTTTACACAAGAAAAGGTAGGCAGAGCTGTGTACACTGTTGCCAATACTTAGGGCTGGTTCACACATTTGCGCATGACTGCGACTGAGTGCGTTGTGTCATTTGGTGAGCGCTTGACGAGATAAACACAATAATCAAAAGGGTTTTGTTGTACCACTATGTTTTCGATACTTTCTTGCAGACGTTTCTCAAACTAGGCCTCAAGCAGGCTGAAATCGACCCCTTCTTCTCCGGGCCGGCATTTCTGGCATGGTACGAGAACAGCGTGGTTTGGTCCTTTAAATGCGTTACAGTTTGCTGCTAGTGAAGAAGGGCTGCGATGTCTCTTTTAAAAGCTTCCAGCATCTTTTTATAAGTTTCGAAGACAAAAGTGACACAAAAGGGATAAAGAGAACAAAAATGACCTTTGGGGGGTCCTTTACAGCTCATTAATTGTTTTTTAGCTGTTCATTTTTTTATTGTTGGGCTGAAAGTAATGAAGTGCTTTTTAGGGAAGACTTATCATGCATCTGCTAACTTACATACTAAAGTGCCAGTTATCACGAAAAGGTATTTGCCTGCTGTTAAGCATAGCCTTTATGGAGTAGATTTCGTTAATGATCACAAAAAGTACAATGCAAATATGCAGAAGAATGTGAGGTACTTAGAACTAATATGAATAAACAAGCCGAATAATTTAACTAAAAAGTCCAAACAGAATCAATGCAAGACTGTCCGAGGGGTTTAGGATTTTAGCCAATCCTAAAATTTTTAACGATGCTGGAGCACCGCGTTAAGCAAGAAGAAACAGTGGCTACCTCGAGATAATCCATCGTACTCTGAAGTAACCCTAACCTTGGTACATAACCTTATGCCACTCTAAAAACTACCTTAATAAAAAAAATGGAGGGTCCGTGAAAACTAGACACATCAAAAGACAAGTTAAAACTGAACATGGGGAAAATGGAAGGTCGACTTTTTAAATGATTTTCCTAGCCTATTTGAACATAGGTTAATAACGACAAATCATTTTGTCGAAACGCCGACGCAAGTCTTTTTTAAAAGCTCAGTAATAGGAAGCTGCATTTCTTAGACGTCCAAGTGCTATACCTACTTTCCTGCAGAGTTTGCGCAAAGTCAACATCCCTAATCCACATTGAGAATCCGGCGCGTGACGTAGCCTAAAAATGTTTAATAAGGAATACACTTTTTTTTTTCAAAATCCCGTCAAGCAATATTGACGGTCGGCATTTTTCGTTTGTCTTTTGAGACTTAGCCTAGGTGGCGCAAGCTACCGCCCGTTATAAGGGGTATAGCCATTAACATCCATTCATCCATCCATCGCGCATGAAGCGTGAGTTTGGAAACGTGTCTTTGCCTAACGCTGACGCAGCAATCGTGTCCAACACGTGATCAGGGCTCGTAACAAAATAATGACGCATTCCGATCAGATGCGTTGCAGCTATGGCGCGAATTTTGAAAAGGGTCTATTGTAGTTTGTCCCGGGTCATTTCACTTCGTGAAACTCTGCGTAAAAGAGTACAGAGTAGACTGTGAATGTTTCCAGCTACGGAAGCCCGTCTTAAGTTAAAGCAGTGCGTAATAAAAACAGAGTTCTAAGTAAATACGCTTGATGTTTTCAGGCAACGCATGGGAAATGTCCGAGGATTTGGTGGCCCGCTACCTGAATCCTGGCATCGGCAACAAGTGGAACTACAGCACAAGATCTTGACGCGAATGCGTGATTTTGGAATGACACCGGTGCTACCAGCGTTTTCGGGTCACGTTCCCAGAGCGATGGAAAGGTAACCATCGTATATAAAATTTTATATATATATATATAAAAAATCTCGCGCCCTTCGGTAAAAAAAAATTAGAATAAAAATTGATAGTAGAGTTGGTCTAATTGTTACAAACTGGAATTATATAAGACTGTCACGTAAAACAGAAGTAGCCGAAGTTAGATGTATTTTCATTGAAACGTCGGAAATTCTTTCTCAAACTGCCGCACAAATATTTTAATAGTAAATTAAAGATGAGATGTGGGCTTCTTCGTCAATTCGTTTTCCTTTCTGCCCGTCTTTTTGCTACCGTTTTAGTTTTCATTACTATTAACGACCCATCTCTTGAAAACACAGACACAGCAAAGGATTGTTCATCTACAGTAGATACACGAAAAGCAAGTCAGACAAAATTCTTTTTTTCTTAGATTTTGGTAGAGCAAATTTAACTTTGGGTGTATAGATTATGTGGATATCTTCAGTGATACATGTATTAGACTGGGTTGCAATAATGTTTATTAAATAAAGCGTGAGAGAAACAAGTTCGACAAAGCATTTTAGACGAAGTGAGATTGCACTTCCCGCAGAGCTTTACAGCCTAAGCTCACATTTTTTTCGTATTTTATAAATATTTTTAAATATCTTTTTGTGAATTCTTATTGGCTAGCAATACGACATTCGACTATTTTTGAAGAATTTTTTTATTTATCATTATTTGTGTGCAATCGGACAATACCAAACTTTTAAAGAAATTCTTATTTATTCCTATTTGTTTCTAATTCGACAAGCGAATATTTTTAGAATTTATTATTTATTCTTTTTTGATGGTAATTGCACAGTCCGAATATTTTCTAGAATAATTTTTTATGGAGTTTTTTTGTTGGTAGTCCGACACTGAATATTTTTAGAGTTTCTCATTCATTTCTACTTATCCGACAATAGAAATATGTTTTTTTTAATAAATTATTTTTCATTTCTTTTGTTAGTAATCCATCTCTTCGGTTATTTTTAGAACCCGACAGTCCACACCTCCAATATCTCTGACACATGTGAAGAAAGCATTTCCTCAAACTTACATAATTTTCGTTTTATTTCAGCTTGTTCCCTAACACAACCATGGCCAGAACTTGCTGGCAGAACTTCAAGGATCCCTACGATTGGTGCGTCTATTGCAAAATAGCAAAATTACCCTCTTGAGATTATTAATTTCGTGCCATTAAAATACATACATTTCAGGATAGAGCATAGCATTTTTTTTGGGGGGGGGGGAGGGGGGGGGGGGGGGGGGAAGAAGCTCTCAGAACTGCAAAGGTCGGTATATTATATGAAGGATCTACATATCTACTGCTGTCACACTCAGATCCATAGATTCCATGAACCTTATTGAATGACTCCGTAGTAAAAAAATCTTAGTTGTATGATAAATTCTTTGGTCCAATAAACGTATATGATCAAGTAAGATCACACAAGAACATATAATAACAACCATACAAGAGTATATAAAAGTTATAAAAAACTAATAAGAAGTTTCTTACAACTTCTTATGCAATCTTACATCATTCTTATATGTTATTATAATGTTCTTATACGCTCCTTAGGATCTTATTTGAACATATGTATTCATTAAACCAAAATAAATTATTATATACTAATACGGTTTTTCACTAGGGAGTGATTTTTAACTAGGGAGTGACAATTCAAGTAAACGACAAGCGGGGCTTATTATGTTAATGCTTTATGATTAGTTATTTGGCGTTCATATCGGCTAATACTGCACTGTCACAGATCTCTAAGAGAGAATAACAATAAGAATTAATAATAGTAATAATATTAATTCCTTTATTTTTCCAACAAAAAGTTGACAAAATAAAAGAGCTAGAGATTCGCCACACCCTCCGCTTTTTAGGCTGTCAGTGACGAGAACCAGAAAAACTCCGACCGCTGTTTACTAACCACAAATTTATATCTTTAGATGTTTCTATATGCCGTGGCGACTACGGCAGAACCTATTTTGAGGCATTTCGTGATTCAAAGAAGCGACTTTGTCAGGTGCGGCTGTTAATCAAATAATCAGAAAAATTCTTGCTCCTTTTGGAAGGTGTGTATTTTCTCACGTAGGCCGAGAATCTTCTTACGTACCCTATATATGGGCACTTGCAGGCATCTACGTTTTACGCTACGTCAGATAGTAAATTCGTCCCTTGAGTGCGGGTTTATTACAAAGCGCGTGAACAGTGTCTGCGCTGATATTCTTGCGGTCTTTGATGTTTAAGACGCAGGTTTGCTTTGCTCTTTTCCAGCCCGACGTTTGTTTACCCCAACGAGACACTTTTTGTTACCATTGGAAAAACTTTCCTAAAAGAGGTGAGTGATCTGTGCCTTACAAACGACTAAAAAACGAACGACTGAAAAAGTGTTAAGCATTGTGTGTTTGGAGCATGACATTCAGGAGAAGTTTTCGTAAAACAAACAAACAAAGAGTTGTAATAAATGAAAACACGAATGTCCCTAATTTAATTGCAATGTAGCTATCGTTCCACAGAGCCATAAGTGGGTAGCAAAATATTAGCAGAGGTCAACCTGGGTTCAACCTAGAGATAAAGCAGTCTCCAGCAAAACGTTTTCACTCTCGGCAGGACCACATTGTCATAGATTGTTAATTCCATGTTTCTTGATGTTTTTTTTATGTTAAAATTTATTTGCCTCCAGCACAAGGCGCACAGGTGATAAAGCGGTTAACATCGCATTTTCTTGTTTGCCCCCAACTCCGTTCAATTTCTGAAGATTACTTTGATCGATGAAGCCTCCAACAATGCTGCATGCATAACTACAATTACAACATGGCTAATGAAACAATTAATTCAGCATATTTTAGTTAATTAGCCAGCTCAATGTGACGGTTACCTTCTCATGCAATGTCCGACAAGCCAGATAAACACACAGCGAAGGCGTTATATATTCGCGTAAAGGGCACCATATTTGAACATATATTAATCTGAGCTGCCGTCGCGCCATTTTTCTTTTGTAGGGCATACATAGCCTCCGTGTGTGTTGCGTCACACAACCCTAAAACCTCAAACATGGCGTTCACATGTTTTTTCTTCTTCGTTTTTCTGTTCTATAACAGCTTAAGAAATGTGGGGCGTGAGGATAAGCCACGTCTCGCGTTTTTTTAATGCTGGTTCACACTCTTGTGACTGCTTGCGACAGAGTGCGTTAAAACCTCTTGTGATCTCCCAAGACAGGAGAACACACACTGGCGCCATTCATCGGCTAGCCACGAAACACTAGCGATTGTCGTATATTTCCTATTGCTTTCGCGCATATTATTCCTTCTTTTTTGTTGGCCTGAAAAGCTTTTTACAACGCTATAAACGACCATTTCTCGTGACAGTACGTACATTAATTGAGCTTGAAAATACTCCAAAACTTTTGCTCTGGTGAAATGTAGTTCCAGGGTCACCTCATAGATGGCGCCGGCGTGCCAGAGTACTCTCTTTTTGTAAGAGATCAGAAAAGTAACTCGGTCGTAAGTGAACGGAAGCATGTGTACCATCCTTTAAGCAGCCGATGACTGAAGAGGCTTTTGTTTCCAGCTTTTGGGACTGGGCGCCAACTAAGCACGGTTGAACGTGCGAACCGACGAACGGATCGGCACACGAAGGGTCGTATATCAGGGACAGGCCGCCAGTTTGATGACGTAAACAAGGCAGTAAGGTTTCCCGAAGGAAGGAACGAGTAATGCACTGAGGCATTGGGAAGGGCCGCCACGGTCGATAGCTTGTTAACGTCGTCGTCCAACCTGGCCTCTTTTAGCGTCTGCCGGGCAAGCAAACCGTAACAGGGAGAAGCATAACGCGAAATGTCTCGGGCAATATCAGACATCAGTGTTGTAATTTTTTGTTAAAATAAAAGTGTAAACCGACTATATTTACTTTGTTTCGCTTTTTACCAGGGTAAAAAGCCAAACGGTTGGCGGTGGGGAGCGTCACGCGCGCTTTGGGCTTTTCAATTTTTTTCTTAGTGGAGGGAGCATGGATTCGGTCAGATACTTTATCACTTTATTTTGGTTGCGTTATTGCATAACCCACACGCTCTCCGGCTTACTTAGGTTACTAAGCTTGGCCAACTCTGCTACGCAATAATGATTTTTTTTTTTTTTTCAGTACATTCAAGAGTTTGGGACGAATCATGCCTACAACACCGATCTCTTCAACGAAATGAATCCTCCATCCTCGTAAGAGCCCACACAAATGGGTATTCTATACTCTGATTTTATCGATCTTTCGCATCATCAGATGACTGCTAACGTGCTCTCTCATCCCCAGCAAGCTGCAGTTTATACGAGATTCTGCTAAAGCCGTTTACAATGCCATGACTGCGGCGGATCCCAAAGCCGTTTGGTGAGATCTTGTTTCTTCTCTTCGCGGTTGCAGCGCAATCACAACCACGGTTACGAAGTCCGAGTTCTCGTGTGTTTCATATTTGATTTTTTTTGCCAAGCTGTACCTAACTGCGCACTTTCATCTACAGGATGATGCAGTCATGGTTGTTTGTGAATGACTTCACCTTCTGGACGAAAGAAAGAATCGAAGCCTTGCTGACCAGCGTTCCCGAGGTAGGTTAGACTTGAATGCAACGTTAAGGAATCTTATAGACACTAATTTAATACCACAATATGAGCACTGACAGCTCGAAAAGCACGTTACGCGGCGAGTCTCGGGCATCCTATTACGACCCCGTAGCCAATGCGTTTGCGGCGTTCGATGACGAGACGACGAAGCACCAATCACGAGGCAGGAAGTAGAAACGCAGCAAGCCGCGCACACCCTGCGTCTAATTTCTCAGTGACTACAGTAGCTATCACACGTTTTTCACTTCATTGATTACGTAATTAGTCATGAATGGTAATGTTAATAAAATTGAAACTTTAACAATTCTCGAAACTTATTTTATGTATTTTTTTTCTCGCTTAAGACTACAATCGAGGAGAAAAGCTTCTTGTGTGGACACCGGATGTTTGCTTGAAAATAAAATGAAAACGCTGTTTCATTGAAACGAGGGCTCAGCAGCTACGCGTCTTGTCATGGCGATTTGTTTAAACGAGCTGCGTTTGAATCCTACGGAAGTAACTCGAATTAATTTCGATTCGACCAAACATTGTATGCTCAAGGGCAGGCTTGACAATACGCATATTCAACGCTGCTAAACTGGCTCGACTAGCGTAATTTTTGTTCACGATCCAGTATGTAGCAGGGTCACAATCGTTATTAACGACACGTTACTATGTCCCATACAGATATTTCCAGGCATACTAATTACTTAAAAGTCTGACGACCAGTTCGGGCTTTCCACTTTTTCCTCGCTTCCTCCTCTTGCCCCCTTCTACCCTGTCAACTGTTGTCTGTTTCCTTCTACCCCATGGTGAGGGGGATCTTCTGCCTTGCAGAATCTCAAGTCTGGTCGTCAGCCTTTAAGCGTGCCGAGTGCCGAGTCCTGACAACTGTTTTAGCGACGATTGTTTTTCAGTTTACGGTACCTGAGAAATAACGGCTTTGATAGCTATTCTATAGCCTAGTGTGCATGAGGAAGGTCTGCGCATTCTTCGCCAGAGCAATAGATCCGCCAGGTCGTGGCGAAATGAGGAGGAACTGCAGGTGAGTAAGAACGATTCTGTAGGCATGCAGCGCCACACAGGATAACGACCCTACGAAGAACCACCTTTTCCTTGTATTTTGTGGAAGAAAAAAAAAAGAAAGAAGGAGAATACTTGTTCTATATTTTCTTTCTACGGCTTATCCCCTTATGAGCCGAGGAACTGCGAAGGGAGAGTATGCCTTAGCTAAAGTAACTCGGTGGCTCCGAGGCGAGAGCGCTGGCCCTACGGATCCCCATGTGGCGGGTTCGAATCCCGGCCGAGGTGCCCGCAATCTGACGGAGGCTTATTGCGGAGGAGGCGCCGTGTAACCGAGCTTTCGGTTGCACGTCAAAAGATCCCCAGGTGGTCCAAATTAATCCTCAGTCCTCCGCTGGGGCGTGCCAGATGCCCGTCGTTGGTTTGGAACGTAAAACTCCCAAATTCGATCACACAACAAGCAAAACAAATTGATGAGACGTTACGCCCTCCATACGGGAGGCATCATCGGTAGCATACAGCGAATGTAAGGGACCAACTCAGCACAAGACTTTTTATCCTGAATGTCCGTATAAGCTTAGGGGATAGGGCCACGGTGCAGAAGTACGGTTTTTCTTTTTTTCTAAAAAAAAAAAAAAAAAAGGAAAGTGGAGTGTTTCGGAAAGTGTCCGCAGAGACTAGAAGGCGCCACCATCCGAATACCTTTTTCCTGTCATTTTCTTCTGCTCTGTCTAGCCCAGTTATGGCGGCCGGTTCTGGCGCGGATGTCCCAGGCTTTCCCATGGGGCTGTGGCTATTCTTAAGAGAGCTTCATTTTCATATAAAAGCTACGTTCTTTTTTTTATTGAGGAGGCTTAACAGAATTGATACTTCATTCTTGATTTTTTATTGCTGTCAGGGAAGATACCGTGCTTCCTAACATGCCTAGTTGTTTTCAGGGGAGAATGGTAATCTTGGACCTAAATTCCGACCTCCACCCCGAGTTCATGAACACGTCAATGTACTTCGGCCATCCGTTCGTCTGGAACATGCTGCTGAATTTTGGAGGCGTCCTCGGCCTTTACGGATCGCTGGATGCCGTGAATATGGTTAATAGCCTTTACTTTTTTTTACTTTAATCAGTAGCTTTCTATTGCTGTATAGCTTGATTGTAATAAGGTGATCAAATTCTTTATCTGTATTCTAAAGACACTCGCGGAGCTACTGATGGTAAGCTTGTGCAATAGATGTAAACATTAATAAATATGCAGCTGTATTACATATTGGTCAAATGTACACTCTAACAAAACATGTGTGTGCTTACTTTCTTAGGGAAGCCGATACAGCCAATCACGAAGAAAGATAAAAGGATCCCAGCAAATGACAAAAGTGAAATACGATTAGAGAAACCAAAAAAGAAAAGATACAACAGCGACCTTTATCTTTAACGTCCTAAAATGCATGAAATGCAGTGCTTCAGGTGCGATCAATTAAGACCATTTACAACTCGCTAAATCACCGTTTTGAGGGGTGGAGAAACTTTATTTTTATAAATTTGTATAGGTCACGTGGCGTCATTTTTCCGCTATATTTAGCGGGGAGACTGAACTGGTGCAAAGGTCACGTGACCTCAATTTTCCTGCTAGATCTAGTGGGGCAATTTTATTGATGTGTCAAATGTCGTCAGGTCACCTGACGTCAATTTCTCTGCTAAATTTAGCGGGGAAACGGAAGATGAGTAGGTCACGTGACATCAATTTTCCCGCCAAATTTAGCGGGGAAACTGAATTGGTTCACAGGTCACGTGACATTGGGTCACGTGACGTAAATTGATACCTCGTCACCCAAGGTTACGAGATATCAATACAGCAAGTAAGTTTCCCTCCTACATTTAGCGGGAAAATTGACTTAACGTGACCTGGTGTCACGTGACCTAAACGCCAATTCACTTTCCCCGCTAAAGTTAACGGGAAATGAACGGACGGGCGGACCAGCGGACGGACACAATCCCGTTAAACAGCGTTTCACGCGGGGACAACGACCTTTCATTTTCCCATTGTCTCCAGCGCACATGGGGATTTTTCATACCTAATCGTATTCTAAGCATCGTCATTGGCTGGATTTTTCTGCGGTTCAACGTGATTGGTTGCCCTCATTTTCCGTGAAAAGTGAACTCGCAGCCATTTTTTTTTAAAGTGTAGTTAGGGTTCTGTCGCGTGCTGGTTTGTGTAAAGCTGGAGGGAACAAAAGCTGCTCGAAGTTTAATACTAGGACACCAGAAGGCCACATCTCGCGCAGTTTCCCGCCATTATAAGGTGGATCAGACACGTTTGTTGACGGGAAAAACGCGTTAACTCGTATTTGATTTGTTTATTACGTAAAAACCTTAAAAGCTCAGCTAGTTTGTTCACCTTGTTGATTATGCATACTCCACAACATGCCGGATATTATAATTATTATTTTTAAAATTGACTCAAGCATGGGGTACTTTATAATGGCAGCCCCGTGTGTGTGTACATATCTAATGGCGCGTGGCGTGACGTCACTAGGACGTGACATCATAGCATCATGTGACGTTCAAAGTCTTCAAAGCAAATTTAGATAATCGATTCATAAATACTGCATTCCACAGATGATAGTACCGGGTGGTTTCGAGAAGGAAACAAAACGCGTTTTCCGGCCGGCGTAAGTAAACTACGCATTGCAGGAAGCTGAAAGTCTGCGAGAGTGACGCTGGCGGTTGAGATAAAACGCGAGAGCTTGAGAATATGACGTAACCTAGATACAAAAGATAAAAGGAAAACACAAAATTTTTCTATCAGTCAAGGTTCACCTCAGCCTAATATCGTAAAAACAAAAAGTGACATTGTGGGCGCCTTCGAGATTTATTTTAGTGAAAAGAAGTTGACAGCCAGAATGAAAACAAGATTATTTTTCTTGGAGCAGTTTTTTTTTTTTTTAATGTAAACGTTACATGCGCCTAGAACGTCACTTGTTGTTTTGACAATATTTGGCTTAGGTGAACTTCGGCTCATAGAGAAATTTGGTCTTTGTCTTTTACATTTTGATCTGGGTCACTTTGTCTTTTACCTTTTGATGCAGGTGACGTCATATTCTCACATTTTCGCAATCGATTCACTCGCTAGCGTCATATTCTCACTGAGTTTGAGCTTCCTGCGATGTGTGATTGATTTACGCGGGTCGAAAATTCTTTTTCACATCTGGTACTTCGTTGATAAAGGAAGCTGTTATTTTTTTATACTTGCAGTGTCAGAACGTAAAATGATGATTTTACACAAACGCTCACGTTTCGCGTTTCAGTCAGCCTTACGTCGTCAATACATGATTCCGTACCCTTGAACGATCATAAAGATTTTCGATAGAATCTCTGTCTGGTTGGGTTATAATTGCGATCAGAGGAAGTATAACTAAGCGAAGTTGGTTCTGGAACGTTGGACTTTCTCATATTAAAGGATTGGTTTGTATAGCAGGCCACATTTTAAACTATCTACAATGACATATTTGGTGAATAAGAGTTACAACCGGCGTACATAGCCAGTTACTCTAAGAAATTCTAAAACACGCCGAAACATGACCATAGTTACTTTCTTATTTCTGAATCCTCGCAGGGTCCCAAGAAAGCACGCGAAGCCGCTCACTCGACCATGATCGGTATCGGTCTCACTCCCGAAGGAATCTTTCAAAATGACATTATGTTTGAGTTCATGAACGAGAACGCCTGGCGACAATCCGCCGTCGACATTGACCAATGGTGAATCGCCAAACTGCCTGTCTTCTTGTCTTTTCATTTCTGAACAATGTGACCGCCGCAACGGAAATAATCTGTCTCGATTTTATTCTGCCTCAGGGTTTTGAACTACGCACTGCGAAGATATGGAACGCTCAACGTGAACGCATCGTCTGCATTCCTACGGCTGCGGGTGCGTACGAACGGGGGAACCGGTAGTATTTAGTCAACTCGAACGGTACTATTTCAGGGTCCGGTCCCACGGCCGTCATTTTGAACGGCTACAAAAAGGCCATAATTTATCAAGAAACGTAGAATACACTCTCAAAAGTACCCTTGCTACATATTCCCTGTGTTCTTGGGTATTCTAGGGTAGGCAATTAAAGTCGTGGGTTAATTAGGCAATTACGTAACTAACATAAAATTTATTACCACGTGCTTCTGATTGGCGTCATTAAAATGTTAAGAGGATTACAGTTTTACATGCATACTCGGTATTATACCAAAGTGGACGAGAGCCTTTACGAAATTTTCGTTTCAAGGTTCCAGTGTGGACGCTTCTCGTTCAAAGGGGCTCTATCTTAAGATACTGTGTTAGTATTTTCTTAGGGATCGCCCCAGCACAGTATCTCGCTTAGGGCACAGGTCTTACTTATCCTTACGTCCTAAAATCCGGAGTGCCGCAAGGATCTTACATTGGACCGCTACTTTTTAATATACTGTATTTGTAAATAACCTTGCGACTAGTGTAGGCAATTCAGAGGTTATTCAATTTGCTGACGCTTGTAAAATTTATCGTAGCATTAGCACTACTGCGGACTGTGAGCCGTTGTAGCTCCACATTGATGCCATTCACCTTGTGTAATGAAAATCTGTTATCTTTAAACCCAATAAAAACTAAAGTTGTTTCTTTTTCACGCAAGATTAATATCATTGTTCACCCTTATACGTTAGATGGCTCTGGCACATCAAAGTCTTCAGTTGTTTGTGACCTGGGAGTTTGCATTACTTCACGCCTGAAGTTCGGTGCTCATATTAGTAAAACAGATGTTAGTGATTCGTTTCATTTGCTAGGCGTCATATCACGTATTACTCAAAAATTCCACAGCTATTCGTGTATACTTTCTCTTTTTATCTCACTAGTTTTGTCGAAGTTAGAATTTTCTTCAACTGTACGGAATTCCCTAAGCGTAAATCAAACTCACCGTTTGGAATGTGTGCAATGACGGCTTGTTCGAATGGTTCATGATCGACATATAGTACGTAAACTTTATTATGATTATTTGAGCCTTTTAAAAACTCTTCGTCTCTCGCCTCTTTCTGAAAGAAGATCAATTCGTGATTTAGTGTTCCTATCTATGCAAAGTACTCAAAGCTCTTATTGACTCCCCTTTGTTACTTGATAAGATTTTGTTTCACGTTCCCCGACGGCAAAATAGGTACAAGATACTTTTTTACCCAGACTCCTCACAATCTGAAACTCCCTTGATTTGTATGCGACTTCTCTATGATAAGTCAAATAACGTTGGATTTTTTATGCCCGTTGAAATGTTAAAAAAAGTGTATGATCAATGAATGCTCAACAGGTTGCGTGTGACCATATTTGTTTAATTTCTTTTTATTGTTATAGACTATGTGTATGTGCAACCCTATTTAGGCCTTCAAGTTGTTTGGGAGCATCATGTATAGATCAATCTAAATCTAACTCGTGAAAGTTGCAGAACCTTAACCACTCCTTTGCACCAGAGGCAAATAAATGAGTTACTGAAGACACCTAGTGCTTCACAGTCTGACGACAACAGCTTCTGAATCGAGAAGTTGGACGAGACACTTTAAGAATTTAAGCGTGTGGTAGTTAACTCCCTGCCTGACTGTGCACATACTGTGTTTACGGAATGATGCTCATTTATTGCTTGCTGTTCATCGTATTTTTCCTGCGCAGTGACACAAGAAATGCTCTGATTCTGGCTCAGAACAGAGGGCGCGACGTACTATACTGTGTATAGAACTTTTCCAGCAATGAATATGTAAGATATGATGTAGCAGAATGTAGATATCAACAATTGAATTGCGGTCACATTTCGGTACGACGTTGAATTATTGGAGCGCATTCTGTTTTACAAAACATTTGTTGCATTTATGATCATAGAAACGATTAACTATTATAATTACCAGCTTTGTAACTGGCTACGATTGTTTTACAGAAGAGCGTTTACAATCTGAAGCCGTCTCTGGGCATTAAGGATCATGGCAGATGTGCACTCGTCGAACGGCCTCAACTTCATATTTCCAGGCTGGTAAGCACATGTTGATGAGCGTAAACTTCGTTCGTATATAAAAACCGAAGGCTGTGTTATAGATAGGTTAGGTTGCGGCATTGTATGGTTTATAGGCTATAAGGCATGAAGTGCCTTACTTAAGAAGCAATCGGTTAAATATGTTTAGAAGATATTACAATGGTTTTAGAGAATAAAAAAAAAAAACTATATTTTTTATTAATTTTCTCGCTAAATTTAGCGGGGAAGCTGACCTGGTGCAAGACACGAGACGTAAATTTCTCCGCCAAATCTAGCGGGGAAATTGAATTGGTGTATTTTTCTCGGGACGCCAGGTAACGTGGCCACAAGTTTCCCGCTAAATTTGACGTGAAGTCACTCGACGTTAATCTCCCCGCTACATTTAGCGGGATATGCACAGAGGGACGCACAGACTTTTCGGGCAAGTTGGTTCATTACTTGCGCAGGTGGCCAGCTGAACAGATTAGAACAAAATTCTCACACAAAAAAAACGTGTAATTTTTTCTGTGTAGTTTGTTCAGCTGGTGGCTGAATAAATTCCCCAAAAAGAAAAAAAAAAGGATTGGGGAGGGAGGGGTTTGTTAGCGAAGGCATGTGATACTGCCGCGTGCGCGCGGCTCCCACGCGGAAGGATATAGTACGAATCCAACCAACCTATGGTTTCGAACAACTTAAGAAACGGGGAGTGTGATGAAGCGCCCTAGTATCTTATTATCACACTGTAGCCAATAAGATTGCCAAATCAGCCAATCATAACAACGAAGAAGAAATAAAAAAGCGCGATTACAGTTCGCCGCACTCATGCGTTTCTTGAGTTGTTGGTGACTCTAGTCTTCCTACAATAGACCCTATCCTAAATTGTGAAATGATGCATAGATTATGTGCAGCTGCCATTGGTTGGTCTCAGCGCATCCAACGTTGAAGCCCGTGATTGGTTCCGAGTATGTGCCGAGCATTCTGACGCCGCGTTCGTGTGGCAGGCGAATGCGTTTCGATCAGCGAGTAGACTCCAAACGCTAACGAAGCGCTCGTTGTCCAATGCGTGCTCACGGCGCATGACCAACTAATGGCGGCCACACATAATCTATGCATCATTTCGAAATTTCGAAAAAGGGTCTATTCGTTGCTCGGTCGGAAAGTTCCGGTGTATATTACACTGGGACTTTCGGACGTTACGCGTGCTTTCTGGCAATACCAGCGTGTTATATTTTCTAGTCATATGTCATGGAATAATCACGTTACATACATTCATATAAAAAAAAAACGTTGTAAAGTCGTCGGGATTATGAATCAATTCAGGCATATAGTCCCGGAAACCATAAAAAAAATTAATTTACAATTCCCTTTTTTCATTCTGTCATATGCTATTCCCATTTATTATGGGGAACAACTACTAAGAGCAATTTAGACAAATTGCGTCTTTTACAGAAAAAGGCTGTTAGAACAATTGAAAATGACCTCGTGGTTATCACTCTCTTCCTCTTTTTGAAAAAACAAACAAACAAAATCATTGATATATACCGGGTGTTTTTGCGAAGACTTTCAAAAATCCTAAACATTAGGGCGATTGAAAAAAGAAGAAACTCTCTTCGGGAACAAACTACCAGCCACGGCGGACGTCAGGAATTGCCAAAAACCCACTAATTAGCCAGATAATTAATTAAAACTTGTTAATTAACTTTTTAATTAGTGGAAATAGACATATGATTCCAATTAGAAAGTTGCTGAGCGTTATCGAAAACCACTAAATCAGTTATTTTCAGAAAGACTTTAAGCGCTTGAGAAGAGTAGTAGCGCACTAAAATTACCACTCGTGGAGCAGGTACAATGCTGGGGCTAGATAAGAGGCGGGAAAATCGCGCGGGCGCCTTACCGCAACCGCTAGCCTTGTACCTGCTCATATTGAACATATTGAACAATTGGTCTCGCGAATACACCAGCCCATTATAACAAACACACAGTATTTAACTTTAAAATCGTGAATTTTGTGCCCACGAAATATTTTCCGAAAACCTGCCACTTCGCGAAATTCGGCAAATGTTGAGCGCGCCAAAAAATAAGGTGAGAAGAGGTTGGAAGGCAGACGGTTGTTTCCCCACCACAAAAAAAAACAAAAAAAAAAACAACAAAAGCAAACAAAAGAAAACAAGCCAAACGAACAAACAAACTAGCACATAAAAGAAACACACAACAACAAATAACAAAAACCACACAGAAAAAACCTACAAGCAACAAGTCAAATTTTGCGACACATGACGACAAAGTTATGTGCAAACATATGTGCGCTTGGATCATGTGTGGAGAGAACATTTGTGTGACAAATGGGATGGGACCACCGTACAAGAAAGTGACGCGCCTCAGTAAGTGTCCGAAGACAGCCTTTTACATGATGTAATAACAGTGGGACCCCAAGGAGCTAGGATTTCATCATTTGCAGAGTATAAAGGCCCGTTCACACTCTTGCGACTGCTTGCGACCTCTTAAACCTGGGTTCCTTAAAACTTCTTAAACCAGAGAACACACTGGCGCCATCTATTGGAAAGCAGTGTAAACTCGGCGGTCCGGCATATTTTTTTTTATTTCTCGCGCAATATCCTTTCTTTTTTGGCTCGAAAAACTTTTGTCAATGTTATAAACGAGCCTTTCTATGGGTATTACGCACATTTGACCTCGGAAATCCCGCAAAACCTTCGCTTTTGTGAAATGCAGTTCTAGGGTCACCGCATAGACGGCGCCACAATGTCAGTGTATTCCCTCATTCTAGGAACATTTAAGAAGTTGTAAGAGATCTTGTCTTTCTCAGTCGTACTCGGTCGCAAGAGTGTGAACGGGCCTTAAGTCTCTACAACAAAGAGCACAACCTCCAAATCATTCGGGAGCCTAGGAGCATATAGACTATGACGTAAGATACAGTGTACGCCCTTTTATGGTACAAAAACTTGAACGCCGTGTTGTGAAGTGAGTGTCCATCGTGCTCTCTAAACTGTATACGAATGTTCACTCCCAAAGACTGTTTATTCTTGTTCGAGACTGTTCACGAGCCGCTCGACCGTTTACTTCCCAAAGATATGGTACGATCCCAAAGACGTCTACGCCGCTTTTGGACATTTATTGGATGCTGCCAATGATCCGAGAATCGCCGAGATGGAAACTTACAGGTATAGTCTGCAGTACCCTTTTACCAAATAGAATATGTGTCAGTTTTTTACAAAAAAAAAAAAAAGACGAAGAGGTGTCTTCATTATCGCCGACAGCTAGGAAACGCACGTGTGTGGCAAGTCCCTATTATGTCGTTATCGCTTTACAGCCAATGAGGCTGGGTCATCAGCCGATAATACTACCAAAGAACAAATCACGAATGCAAGAACCTTGATCATAATAGGCAACGTTTCTTAAGCTGTCACTTACTATAATACTTTTTAACAAAGGGTCTCGCTGCGTCAATGCGTCCATTCATTTTTTTTTTGCTTTCTTTGGAGGAAATACATTTTGCGACATGCGGGGTTTATTGAGGCAGTTTAATGTACGTTTGTTCGGAGTGTAAAGTGGCTTTGACGCTTAGGAAATGCAAGTAAGCAAAAGTACGAGCTATGAAATCTAAAATTCAATGGCTAACTTTTGTAAAGGCTAACAGCAAACGTTTACTAACTTTTCACCCAGTCTTATTTTGGCATTATAGTCCTGCTCTTAAACCTTGCATTTCTGGTGTGCGTGAAATAAGGTTTACTGCGCAGGCGAGCTGGTGAAGGATCATAGTGAAAATATACCTTGAGACTAGAGCCAAAAAGGGGGCAACACAACACTCTTTGTCCTATAGTCTCAAGGTATTTGTTCACTGTAACCTCTGGTATTACGGTGATGAAACCAGTTAGTTCAGGTTTAATATACGCCGGAGTGAAGTATTACTAAACTAAAATTAAGTAAAAAGTATATTACTTTCAGAGTTTAATTTTCGAAATATTTTGTAGGTAAATTAGAGTTTGATGGTAGCGAGCCAGAAAGCTTGTAATATATCGCCTCTTAACTTGAATACTACTCGGAGCTTCTAACGTCATTAAAGGGCCAACGCTTAAGTTAAATAATACAAGTATATCTGTTGAACTCTAATTTTGCCTTCTTCATTTGCCACGTCTTTGCTTTATTTTATTAAAACTAAAACATATTTTTTGTCTGCAGGTATGATTTGGTAGACGTTACACGGCAGTCACTGCAACTTCTAATTGAGGATGCGTACCAAGCTGTGGTAAAAAGTTTCAAGAGCAAATCGATGGAGCTTCTGAGGTTTGTATTTGACTTAATATGGAAAGTCATCATCAATAAGATACTTGCGTACTATTCACCAAGAGAGTGAACATATGAGTAATTTTCAGAAAATGAGTTCTCGACACATCCTATACACCGTATTTTTCACGGGTATTTATTTATAAAAAAAATCGAACCAGTTTCTTTACGCAGCACATGAGATAAATTCTGATTTTCATACAATGTGTTGAACAAAGTGTATAATTATGTGTAAAGTTCAGTCAATTAGGTTAACGTTTTACGCAAGCACGGCTTTTATGCGTCAAAGATGACTTCTACAGCTCTCCGTGAACAGTGGTGGTAAAACGCTCATTGTCAGTCGTAGCCTGATGTTCAAGCGCGATATTATTTGCCTAAAACAACCTTTAATTAGGAAGAAAAAAAAATACAAGTCATCTACAAGAAAACTGTAACGCAGACTGACCAAATCAATAATTTAAGTCAAGAATACTATGTTCGCCCTATGACAGTCTACTTAAGACACGTGCAGTTTGTTCATTAAACTTAATGTGATCACCCTTTGAAAATATGTAAAATTTATGTATGGAAACTTTTCCCAAGACAGCCCACTGCGGTTCAAGGTAAATAGCTCAAGAGTTTGCAGGATTCTCGAAGAAAAGTGTAACCAATAACTTATAATAAAGCGCCCTTCACCACTTATAGTAAGTATGCGGCGAGCTGGTGATAGTTAATCATATTGTGTAAAACCCAGGACTGCAATATGGGAAACAAAACGAAGAACCTTTCAAAACTTTGAAAGTACCTTCGTTTTCTTTTTCTTACCGCAATCTCGGGTGTTACAAAATATGGTTAAACATTCACCAAACCCGAGTTCAGCCACTGAAACGTATCCCCGTAATAATTTCAATTTTGAGAGGGATATATCACAAGCGTCAATTGCTCTCATAATTTTTTTCTACTGGAATTTATTTACACATCTTTTTCTTCGATAGAAAGACTTCACAAATCATGCATGACATGCTTGTAGACATTGACGCGGTACTAGGGTCTGACCGGCACTTTCTTCTTGGAAACTGGCTGAAAGATGCGAAGCGTTGGGGATCAACGCCTGAGGTAAATACTGCTGTTCATTTGATATGCCATGGTCAAATTGAGAATACGATGATAGGATACAATAATGAACTATTATACACCAATGCGACTCTGGTGTAGGGCACTATACTCAAAGGAATTACACAAACGTGTATTCACTTTCATTTATGAATAATGTTCACGCACCCCTAATAGGGGCTGTGACAGGCGCGATGTAGAAATTCACATGAAATTTGCAATTCACATAATATATACAATATAAAGCAAAAATAACCAAAACAACACAGCCAATTAGGCCTACAATATGTGTATAAAACGATAAAAGAACTATAATTTTTATTTTTAATTGATTAATTTTATAAAAATATATATTAAAAAACTACTCTATGCTCCAGTAGTACAAACAATATATCCGAACAGTCAACACTAGTTATCTCTTCCTGTGACAAGAACAAGAAAAAACAAAATATTTGCCAGGTTATGTTACATAAATTGAAAATAAAATTTGCAAATACATGGAAACAGTTTGTCCACACAATATTATGGGGAAGGTTATTTTACTCACGTACAGGTTTAGGGGAAAAAAACCTATATGAGTCCATTTTAATATTTCAGGGAGTTTCCATTATGTATGTACTATTGCGTGAAATTGAATGCTTTAGAGAAGCGTGATCCAAGAAACGCAAGAACCCAGTATAAAGAGCAGAAGTTCTGTACAAACTTACAATTTTTCGACCTGCAAGTACGTTATTATATTAAATTAGTTCCTTGATACCACAGCATGGACGAAGCGTATCGATTGTTTGTTTTACATTCGCGGATACTGTAGGTGTCGGGAAAGTCAGACTCTGTAATCTCTTAAAGGGTGTGGCCAGGTGGTGCATCGGTTTCGTGACTATATCCACTTGCCAGTAAAATCTAAAATTCTTCTGAGGTTAACTTAAAAAAAAAAAGTACAACGTCACCACAGTGCAACTTTGGGCATTTGTATAAACAAAATCCGGATCGCAAAAAAAAAAATACTTTGGCGCTTGAATTTTTGCAAGCTCAAGTAGGTACCACATATAAACAAGCGCTAGAGCCAGTGTAGGAAGTTGTAAATCGATACACATATCGATTCATTGAAAGACAAAATGTATACGACTGCAAATTTTGAAGACTATACCTATTTTCACCTAAATAGAGAAGCAAGTTTTGCGCATTGTTCATACGCGGAGCGAGATTTGGTTGTCGGAGGAAAAAGTGATGCTTTTGGCGTTTGGAACGCGTGCCTCTTGATAAGATAACGTATGTCTAATCTAAGATACACATGCATATATCTTAACTATCCACATAAAGGAGCCGGACTTTTTAATTACGGTTATTGAGGTGAAAACGGGTATAAGTAGAACTCTTAAGGAACTGTTCGACAACGGCTATTCAGAACCACAGCCCCAAAGCAAGATAGTTGGCAACGGAAAGTATAATATGGCTGCATAGTTAAAATAATGAGAGCGATTTTTTTGTTTGTGATTTAACGGGTGAATGGTTCAGCATGAAATTATAAAAACCTGAAACATAGACCAAGTCACGACTTTACTATTTACTCAATTGTTTTGTAAATTAAATTGACGCTGTTTCATGATGCAGGAATCAAACCTGTACGAATACAACGCTCGGAACCAGATCACTCTGTGGGGTCCTGAAGGAGAAGTGAGTTTAATAAATTTTGACTTCTTTCATTTTACAGTGCTGCGAGATGAACCCGTGTGTTTCTTACTGCCAAGGGTAAAACTAAGAAACTTGATTTGCATCCTTCTAGATTGTTGACTACGCAAACAAGCAATGGTCTGGTTTGATTCGAGGGTAAGCAAGGTTTGTCATACAAACTAAAAGCGGACACCTAAGGTCGCACTATAGTCTTTCGAACTTTGTAAGACTTTTGATTTCCAAGTAAAATGTGTGACAAGCATCTGCAAAAAAGAGTTAGTTGCCACTGTACTGAACCAGGTAACCCGGAATTAGCTCGAACCTGATTTACTCCTGACATATAATAGAAAACAGCGCGAATAAACTCAAGGACAAGGAGAAAAATACAGACATCGCGCTGACACGTTTGTCTTTTAATGCCCTTGATATGCTTGTCATTTAATGCAGTGTGATGTATTTTTAAATTTCAAAGCCTGGACAAGACTGGATTCTGATAGAGTAGAGGTACAGTTTGTGGACTACTGTGGACACTATAGACATTAGACTATTAATAAATGCCAAGACATGATTCATTTTAGCGACACTACCACGTCACAGTCTGTCAAATAGTGTTAAACAGGCTTTCCCATGGCAAAAAGATAAAAAATGCAAATAACACAAAAATACCAAACCATAACCAAAAGAAAAACAACAACAAATAGAACTATAGTGCAATCCACTTATAAAGATACAACATAAAACGTGTACTGCTTAACACAATCAGTTTCTAGAATTTCTAGACTATAAACGCTCCGTTTCTAGTCCTGAAACATCGATAATTGGTATTAACGATTGAATATCCGGGTTTTCTCATTATCGTTATAAGTCGATTGCACGGTATTCTAAACCTTAATTCTAAATGCCACTTTTATTCCGTCAGAAAAAAAAAAAAACAATAAAAAAACATTCACAATTTATGGACTTTTGTGAGCTAGCTGATAAACAGTGATTGATGTATTTTATGTTATTGGACGAGCTTTACTAAACGGCCTAGGAAAAAAAAATATAAAGTCAAGTATTTTTATGGTGGGTAACTATTGAATACCTTAGATAGTACACGCCCGATACGATTTTTCTTTAATGCAGGTACTACCTCAAGAGATGGGAGTTTTTCTTTCAGACCTTAAAAGAGTGTTTGGAGACACACAGTAACTTCAACAATACGCAGTTCAAGAAGGACATATTTTCTAACGTTGAAGAGCCGTTTACGTTTGCGACTGACTTGTATCCAACAATGCCGCAAGGTGAGTGGCAAAGATTTGGTACTAAAAAGTTATAAAATTAAAAATAACTAACGAAACTATAGCAACCCTTAAAATAGTCGAAACATATTTTTATTGCAGACATAATATGTCAGTATTATCTAGATTTAACAAACGCAAGTCTGACGTATTATTTAACACCACTATGTATTTGCAACAGCATGCACATACGGAGGGAAGGGCTGGTTTAGATGCGCACGAAGAAATGCTAATGTAGCGCAAGGTTGCTTAAACAACCTAAAAATGTAACATCGGTTTGTGATACTGCTTTTTACAAAAAAATAATTAATTGAGACACGTACATCCCTCGTTATGCGAAAATTTACTTATAGCACGAATTATTTCAAGATTGCACCTAGTACAACTTTATTACTCGCTCTTGCATTTGGATATAGTGAATAAATTATTAAATCTCCAAGTGTTTAAAAACCTACATTCCATGCTTTCCGTCTCTTTTAATTAGGTGACAGCGTGATCATCAGCGCCAAGCTTTTCAAGAAATATAAAAGCTTCATGTGGCCTGACAGTTATGAGTTCAAGGGCAATATTGAGGCGAAGATTTGAACCCTGAGCCGTGTATGTAATTAGTTGTTTTCTTGAGCGTTTGCACGCAGGCTCATGTGTATGGTCTTACTTAACTAAAGAGAGTGATAAAATGAAGCATTTCGAAAACAGTCTGTGAACACAGATGCAATAAATACTAAAATAAATTTAGCTGACTAAAAAAAAAAAAAACACACACACATTATGAGGCAGATTTTAGATACCAAGGACTCAAACGGGAGCGATACCAAAAGCACCTACTTTGCAAAGCAAAGTTAATCACCTTGAATTTCACGTGGAGCGAAAGCTTGCGCTGCAGAACTTGGGGGTCCTGGCAGGCACGTAGCCAAAGGGGGGGGGGGGGGGGGGCATGGGGCCCGGCGCCCCCCCCCCCCCCCCCCCCCCCCCCCCTGAAACAAGATCCTGGCTACGTGCCTGGGTCCTGGGTTCAACCTCCCCCCCCCCCTGCCCGTCTAGATCTGAACGAGCATCGTGTCGGCGAACGTTCGTGTATCACTACTGCCTGACGCAAGTTAAAGTATCCAAGCTGGCATTGGTACTGCGCTGACTGACTACATTTCTTACCTACAGCGGTTACACAGGCGGCCATTGGGGCTGATTAACTTCAAGCTGTCTAGACATGCACACGACAGCATTTACATTGAAGTTGATCGTTATTGAAAACTCGATGTCTTTGCCTAGCCTTATGAAAGAACAGTGAAGCGCTCGCTTTATTTCGAACACAAACATGTTTCTTTATTCGTGACCGAAGTTCAGAAAAAAAAAAGACTTACTAAGCAAGAGACATAAATATAATTGTATACTGTCTTAGCTAATCCAGTTTTTAATTTTCAGAAAGGAACTTGACTGGACATCGGACATCGCGACAACAATTTTGAAGAATCGTTTTGTTAATTGGAAGCAAGGGAACTACCCAATACGAATATCTTGAACACCTGTCTGAAAACATATCGTACCTTGTTTTATTTCAACGAGGCCTACCTTTTAGATATGGGTTAAAAACAAATAAAGAATGGTGCCAAAGAAACAATGTGATTAAATTTCCAACCTTTTACATAATCCAAATACCTTCGCACTATTTTACTGATATGTTTGAGGTTGCGCGATGCCGCAGCAGCTAAGCAATGCATGCCGTTGTGTGAACAGCCTCACTAGATGGTGCAACGAGAGCACGAGAAAAGCGGTTTGGGCGAGAGATGGCGCAAGCTCCTATAGCGAAAACAAACACTAGAGAAGAGCAGCGATAGGAGAGGCAAATTCAAAATGATCTCTTTGCCCAGCAGATGACGTGTGGCAGACTAGGTAGTATCGGTCAGAAAACAACAACAACGCATTTTGGAGTAGCGGCATCAAAGTCACATAAAGGCTGTGTTCCAAATCTTACCCAAATGGATCTGAGTCACTCCGAAGGGTCGTGTCACCTGACAACACAAATAAAAAAAAACGCTGGATGCGGGTAGGTTTTCGGACGCCAAGATACAAAACCTTTACCCTGGAGTAAGATCGAGTAAATTTTGGAACAAATTAAAGATATGTTTAGTGCTTTGAAAATACACTATACTTCCATAAATGCGCCTAAAATTTCCAAGCTGTATTTTACTTCCGTCTTGTTTTTGTGACGCCAGCTCAATCAGTTAAAATGCGAACTAAAATAACCTTTAGACCGCTGCGAAGGGTACATCACTGATGTCTATTGTAGTAAGTTGGAATGCGGATAGGGAGCCCGTCGGTGGCACCGCCGGCGGTCATTGCTTGACACCAGGCAATACACGCAAATCTATGGGAGAAACACACAAGAGTAGGATAATTAAAGCTTCTACGCGGTGCTCGAAGGCGAGTATTTTGTTATGTGCTGCGATCATGATATCGAGTGTTTGGAGATCAATCAGTATTTGTCAAGCGTTCGAACGCCGATTAAAAAAATTAAATGGAAAGATGTTTACAAATCTCTGTAATGCGAAATTAGGGCGCAGCCCCCCCTTCGTGGTATTTTGATTTTCCGATATATCGTCACAGGAGGGTACAGAGGAGGAGGAGGGGAAGGTACAGAGGAGGAGGAGGGGAAGGTACAGAGGAGGAGGAGGAGGGTACGAAGGAGGAGGGGAGGGTACGGAGGACCCTCCTTTTCCTCCTCCTCCACTCCTCCTCCTCTCCTCCTCTTCCTCGTCCTCCACCCCCTCCTCCTCACAATATATACATGTCTCCTCCTCCTGCGTACTCTCCCATCCTCCTACTCCGTACCCTCCCCTCCTCTTTCACCATACCCTCCCCTCCTCCTACAGTTCCCCCGCTAAATTTAGCGGGGAAAATTACGTCACATGACTTCGTGTCACATCACCCATCAAAAAATTCAATTTCTCCGCTAGTTTTAGCGAAACAATTGACGTCACGTGGCCTCAACACCAATTTAATTTCCCGCTAAATTTAACGTGGAAACTGAACTGGTGTTGAGATCATGTGACGTCAGTTTTACCGCTAAATTTAGCGGGGTACGGCGGAGGCGACGGCGATGCCGCTATACGCGGAAATGGGCGCCTAAGAGCTGCGCTCTAAAATCAAATGTGCCGGAGCATAACCCACAGTGCCGGCGTCGCTTACTTCAATTGCTAAACAATTAGTGACACGTTCTACAAATGAACGACACGCTTCTAGTTTTAGTTTGTCACGAAAGCCCTCACTGCAGTTGAAAGCGAAGGCTTGCACCAGAAGTACTCTCTACAAGAGGTTGAAACGATGCGAATACCCCCAGTAAATGCCTTCTAACTTATCGTCTGCTAAGCCCTGATGACGACTTCGAGATCAGGAGCGACTCCACATTGACCCTCAGAAACCGTTGTCTCGTTGAATCTCATTACACTTTACGCCCAACAAAGTCGCAACCCTCAACCAAAAAAAAACATTTATTAAAAAAAAAGTTTGGCATTCTAATGCTTTTGATATTTGCCCCTAGCATATTAACTCTCATTCCCTGAAGACATTATAAAAGTTTAATCGTCGAGAACAATCTACTAAGGTAAGAAATTGCAGCTCTTCCCATTTCTCCCCCAGAGTCCCATCCATTAGCTGTTGTCAAGCGATGGCTGCCGGTGGTGCCGCTCGACATCAGCAAGACAAGCCTCAACCCGCGATCCAGCCTACTACAATATAGATCAGTGGGGTGGTACATAATCAATATTGGAGATTTCTGCCAAATCGACGCGGCACTTAGCTGTAGTGGCAGGTTCGCGCAGCAGCTTTCTTGAGCGAATCAGATATTCAGTTATCCACAGCACCTGGCCGTCTAAAAATGAAGCCGTGAAAGTAAGTTAAAAAAATACGCGATGAAAATCGCCAATAGAATCAACTAGAGCCACTAAATTAGCTACGCTTAGAGTATCGGTACTCCATTCCCTGATCTGTAGTGGGCGCCGCCAACTTGGTGCTTAGAGCCGAGCGGACGCAACTGTCGATCGTAACAATTAAAAAATGCGACTGCCTCAGCTTTAGACACGGCGGTAGGAAGCTCAGGCAATTTCGTTTTGCTCGGTCGCGAACCGTTCTAACATTTCTGGAGGACGGAAAAATGTTCCCCGCAATTTCAGATAAAGCTTCAGATAACTGGCAAGCATGATTCTAAGCACCAAGATATCTGGAGTGTCGTTACTCTGAAGCTGTCTAGTGGCTCTAGGATCAACAGTGGCTCGAGCTGTCTCAGATTCAGGATCTTAGATCAGAACGATTGAGAACGGTTCAGAGCAGATCAGAACGGTTTCCGGCACCATAACCCACGGTTCATGGGCGACGTCTGCGAAAGCGCCAACCAGTCAGAATTCCACTTTTTTTTATCGTTTTCGTGAGAGGGTTTTTTGTACCAAAAGATGAGGCGCTTTTTAAAACTCGTTTCAAGTTTCTCTCACTTAACAGCGCCGCGTCAAAACAGCACAACGACAAAACATCACGGCGTCAAAATAGCAGCTGGGACGGAAGAGCACGCGACATAAAAAGCACAGTAACAAAGCAGCACAGACGCAAATGCATGCTGTTTTTTTTTTTTTCGCTCTGGGGCACATTATTAGCAGCACGCGCCTAAATTAGGCACTTGTTGCTAACGTGTTCAGGAGAACATGTGTATTCCCGTTACATTTTATTGTCTGCCGTTATATGACTTTATATTATTACCATCACCGTTATATTTTATTCTCTACTTACAGCTTTTCGTGCATGTTCAGCAACACCAAACCTTCCCATCGCAAGCCAATGAAGCTAGATTTCTTGCCGTCGTTTTAATGACTGATTGATTGTTAATCCGTTAACCTTTTAAACTGATACAAATACGGCACCCTATTTACCCAAAATCAGAAGATGATCGACGGCCGAAGAGGATGCACCCCATCGGGTTCAAATTCATACGCGAGAATCTCGCAAAGACTTAACGAAACTTCATTTCCCAATACGACACAGTCCCTTATTAATACGAAAAGCGACAGCCTGTCGGCTGTCGCTTTTCTTATTGCATGTAAGCTATATGTAAACAAGAGTGTATGTCAAAGTCAAATAAACAATTTCTTTAGCAGTTCCACAAAACGCGTCAATTGTGCTCTTCATTCTGCCTTTGGGTAAATAGGGTGCCGCATTTGTATCAATTTAGAAAGTTAACGGATTAACAATCAGCCCGTCTTTAGGGACTTTTAGCAAATCGTCACCGTGTTCGGCGCGCACAGCACTGCCGGAGCCTCTGTAAAGTATGCTTTTAAGCACGCTCCCGGGTGATACTGAAGCGTGCTTCAAAGGCTCCGGTAGTGCGCTGCGTGGAACACGGCAACGGTTTGCTAAAAGTCCCCATTAAAAACACGGCAAGAAATGTAGCTTTATAGGCTTGCGGTGGGAAGATTTTATATTACTGAAGATCACAAAATGTTAAAAGTAGGTAATAAAATATAACGGCGCAGGTAATTACACGGTCATATAACGGTAGATAATAAAAATGTAAGGGCAGCTACACGTGTTCCTCTAAACACGTTAGCACCACGTACTTAATTTAGGCGCGTGCTGCTAATAATGTGTCCTACAGCGAAAAAA